TAAACACATAAAGTTCCTCTACGAGAGGTTCCTCACACACTGTTTGCACCGCAAACGTCTAAAATCTATATCTGATCGTACGTTTAGGCCGACGCATCACACATACTTGTGACTGGTTAAGTTGGCGTCAAAATTCTACCAGTCCCCAGGATAGCAAGTTTATATATCGACCCTCCGTAACAAGTGAGAAATAAATTACAAGGTACAATAACAAGTTAGTTTTACAAGTAAGTTGCTTTTACAAGTTACTTTCTCCAAGTAGATTAGTTACAGGTCTAACGTAGTGACTAGCTGTGCACTCATCCTGGATTCTGTCTTTCTAGGCTAATGTATAGCTGAGCAAAATCGCAACACACAATGGTAAGCTAAATTAAAAAGAACACAATCACGTTTCAATACAGTGAAGAAACGAAACATAGTGACGAACAATCATGTACTGAGACAACGTTTCCCTCAACAGAGACCTTGATTATATTATTGTAGGTTCTCCGGTACTGCCGGCCCGGGTCTTCTCCAGGTGGCGACCCGACCTTGATTATAACATGATACTCAAAGGGGTAAACGTTTTCTCAGTTAAACCTTGTTTCGAAACGTTCTATTTTTACTATTGGACGACATTTTGATCCCAAAATCAACACAAGATGCTGACCTAACTTAAATAATCTTTATTAAATAAAGTTTCCCTTAACTTACATGTTCCATCGCCGTCAGTAATGTGCGTCATAGGAATACGTTATTACTGCAAATTTCGAGCGGATATTACATTTATTGACGTTATTGTGCGTTGAGGAAGACTTAGACACAGAATATTTACAAGATGTTTATATGTTATTTGTATTTCACCGAATATACATTAAGAGGTTAGTGTATATCGCTGGGAATGTATGTACACCAAGAGGCATAAATCTCTCGATGTATATATACCGAGAGATCTACATCACTGTATATACATCGAAAAGTATATTGATCTTAGTGTATACACACTGTAAACTGACTCCACTTTAGATATTGTAATATTCTTGACCGGTAGTGTACAAGGGTAATATTCTTGACCGGTAGTGTACAAGGGTAATATTCTTGACCGGTAGTGTACAAGGGTAATATTCTTGACCGGTAGTGTACAAGGGTAATATTCTTGACCGGTAGTGTACAGGGGTAATATTCTTGACCGGTAGTGTACAAGGGTAATATTCTTGACCGGTAGTGTACAGGGGTAATATTCTTGACCGGTAGTGTACAGGGGTAATATTCTTAACCGGTAGTATACAAGGGAAATATTCTTAACCGGTAGTGTACAGGGGTAATATTCTTGACCGGTAGTGTAGAGGGGTAATATTCTTGACCGGTAGTGTACAGGGGTAATATTCTTGACCGGTAGTGTAGAGGGGTAATATTCTTGACCGGTAGTGTACAGGGGTAATATTCTTGACCGGTAGTCTACAGGGGTAATATTCTTGACCGGTAGTCTACAGGGGTAATATTCTTGACCGGTAGTGCCTTAATGACCCCCACTTAAACACAAGATCATAAAATATGCAGACCATTAAATACTTTTTTCAACATTTGTCTAATGTTTTTTGTAGCTTAAGCCACAGGAAGCAAGTGCAAAGCTAAGAAGTGAACTATTACCCCTTCAGTGAGAGTGTTGAACATGCAAGGGTAAGCCAGGCGTGGTTACCATCTTCACTTGGCGTGGTTACCATCTTCACTTGGCGTGGTTACCATCTTCACTTGGCATGGTTACCATCTTCACTTGGCATGGTTACCATCTTCACTTGGCATGGTTACCATCTTCACTTGGCATGGTTACCATCTTCACTTGGCGTGGTTACCATCTTCACTTGGCATGGTTACCATCTTCACTTGGCTTGGTTACCATCTTCACTTGGCATGGTTACCATCTTCACTTGGCATGGTTACCATCTTCACTTGGCATGGTTACCATCTTCACTTGGCATGGTTACCATCTTCACTTGGCGTGGTTACCATCTTCACTTGGCATGGTTACCATCTTCACTTGGCGTGGTTACCATCTTCACTTGGCATGGTTACCATCTTCACTTGGCATGGTTACCATCTTCACTTGGCATGGTTGCCATCTTCACTTGGCGTGGTTACCATCTTCACTTGGCGTGGTTACCATCTTCACTTGGCTTGGTTACCATCTTCACTTGGCATGGTTACCATCTTCACTTGGCGTGGTTACCATCTTCACTTGGCGTGGTTACCATCTTCACTTGGCTTGGTTACCATCTTCACTTGGCATGGTTACCATCTTCACTTGGCTTGGTTACCATCTTCACTTGGCATGGTTACCATCTTCACTTGGCGTGGTTACCATCTTCACTTGGCATGGTTACCATCTTCACTTGGCGTGGTTACCATCTTCACTTGGCATGGTTACCATCTTCACTTGGCATGGTTACCATCTTCACTTGGCATGGTTACCATCTTCACTTGGCATGGTTACCATCTTCACTTGGCATGGTTACCATCTTCACTTGGCATGGTTACCATCTTCACTTGGCATGGTTACCATCTTCACTTGGCATGGTTACCATCTTCACTTGGCATAGTTACCATCTTCACTTGGCGTGGTTACCATCTTCACTTGGCATGGTTACCATCTTCACTTGGCATGGTTACCATCTTCACTTGGCATGGTTACCATCTTCACTTGGCATGGTTACCATCTTCACTTGGCGTGGTTACCATCTTCACTTGGCATGGTTACCATCTTCACTTGGCATGGTTACCATCTTCACTTGGCATGGTTACCATCTTCACTTGGTATGGTTACCATCTTCACTTGGCATGGTTACCATCTTCACTTGGCATGGTTACCATCTTCACTTTCACACGACTTAGCAAATACAATTATTTTATTTGTTTAATATTAAATGCTGGAGTAATAAGAACGTGGAGTGCACATGTGCACGCTGTTACAAATTGTGTATGTGCACTGGAGAGTTTTCTATGTGCACTGGGAGCCCTTCTATGTGCACTGAAGGCAAGATTCCTGTTATGTGCACTAGTGATAGGCTTCCTATTATGTGCACTGGAGACAAGCTTCCTGTGTGCACTGGGGTCAAACCTTCACGTATGTGTAACAACTTTGGTACATTTAATAATCTTCCAGCTATGTTTAATAATCTTTCATCTATGTTTAATAATCTTCCAGCTATGTTTAATAATCTTTCAGCTATGTTTAATAATCTTCCAGCTATGCTTAATAAATCTTCCAGCTATATTTAATAATCTTCCAGCAATATTTAATAATCTTCAGCTATGCTTAATAATCTTCCAGCTATGTTTAATAATCTTCCAGCTATGTTTAATAATCTTCAGCTATGCTTAATAATCTTCCAGCTATGTTTAATAATCTTCAGCTATGCTTAATAATCTTCCAGCTATGTTTAATAATCTTCAGCTATGCTTAATAATCTTCCAGCTATGTTTAATAATCTTCCAGCTATGTTTAATAATCTTCAGCTATGCTTAATAATCTTCCAGCTATGTTTAATAATCTTCCAGCTATGTTTAATAATCTTCAGCTATGTTAATAATCTACCAGCTATGTTTAATAATCTTCCAGCTATGTTTAATAATCTTCCAGCTATGTTTAATAATCTTCAGCTACGTTTAATAATCTTCAGCTATGTTTAATAATCTTCCAGCTATGTTTAATAATCTTCCAGCTATGTTTAATAATCTTCCAGCTATGTTTAATAATCTTCCAGCTATGTTTAATAATCTTCCAGCTATGTTTAATAATCTTCTAGCTATGTTTAATAATCTTCCAGCTATGTTTAATAATCTTCCACCTATGTTTAATAATCTTCCCACTATGTTTAATAATCTTCCAGCTATGTTTAATAATCTTCCACCTATGTTTAATAATCTTCCCACTATGTTTAATAATCTTCTAGCTATGTTTAATAATCTTCCCACTATGTTTAATAATCTTCCCACTATGTTTAATAATCTTCCACCTATGTTTAATAATCTTCCCACTATGTTTAATAATCTTCTAGCTATGTTTAATAATCTTCCAGCTATGTTTAATAATCTTCCAGCTATGTTTAATAATCTTCCACCTTTGTTTAATAATCTTCCAGCTATGTTTAATAATCTTCCAGCTATGTTTAATAATCTTCCCACTATGTTTAATAATCTTCTAGCTATGTTTAATAATCTTCCCACTCTGCTTAATAATCTTCCAGCTATGTTTAATAATCTTCCAGCTATGTTTAATAATCTTCTAGCTATGTTTAATAATCTTCCAGCTGTATTTAATAATCTTCCAGCTATGTTTAATAATCTTCCAGCTATGTTTAATAATCTTCCAGCTATGTTTAATAATCTCCCATCTATGTTTAATAATCTCCCAGCTATGTTTAATAATCTTCCAGCTATGTTTAATAATCTTCCAGCTATGTTTAATAATCTCCCAGCTATGTTTAATAATCTTCCAGCTATGTTTAATAATTTTCCAGCTATGTTTAACAATCTTCCAGCTATGTTTAATAATCTTCTAGCTATGTTTAGCAATCTTCCAGCTATGTTTAATAATCTTCCAGCTATGTTTAATAATCTTCCAGCTATGTTTAATAATCTTCCAGTTATATTTAATAATCTTCTAGCTATGTTTAGCAATCTTCCAGCTATGTTTAATAATCTCCCAGCTATGTTTAATAATCTCCCAGCTATGTTTAATAATCTCCCAGCTATGTTTAATAATCTCCCAGCTATGTTTAATAATCTCCCAGCTATGTTTAATAATCTCCCAGCTATGTTTAATAATCTCCCAGCTATGTTTAATAATCTCCCAGCTATGTTTAATAATCTCCCAGCAATGTTTAATAATCTCCCAGCTATGTTTAATAATCTCCCAGCTATGTTTAATAATCTCCCAGCTATGTTTTAATAATCTCCCAGCAATGTTTAATAATCTCCCAGCTATGTTTAATAATCTCCCAGCTATGTTTAATAATCTCCCAGCTATGTTTAATAATCTCCCAGCTATGTTTAATAATCTCCCAGCTATGTTTAATAATCTCCCAGCTATGTTTAATAATCTCCCAGCTATGTTTAATAATCTCCCAGCTATGTTTAATAATCTCCCAGCTATGTGGAACGATATTTCAACTTAATCACTATTACAAAATTCTGTGTGTAATTTCCACTCAAAAATTCGAGTAATAAAAGACCCATTTTAAGACTCACATTTCACATTGTTTTCCTATTACTATCTCACTTAATATTAGTCTTTGGTAGGACATTTTTTTCCATCTACTGGAAAGCACCAGTCAGCAGAAAAAAAAAAAAACAGGGACCGAATGGGAGTTGAACCTATGGAAAGTTTTAAAACTCCCGGGATTTGTTTGTTATTGTGTTATTACGATTTCGTGAACCAGTCAGCAGGTTATATATGGAGATTATTGACTCATGATTAATATGTATTGCTGGAACAGTTCCACTGGTATAACCCTGATAATTGACCAGATGGAAATTGTTCAGGCATTTATTTGCTGAAGGCATCGTTCACCAATGTTGAAAACGGCATAAAATACTGACATAATAATGATTAAGACATGTGCAACAGCTGGGTATCTTTATTGGTGAAACGTTTCAACAACATAGATGATACGCAACTGTTGCACATGTGTCTCACCAATCATCGGTCACCACCTACCTGGTGCACTTAAGGAAGACACAATGTAACAACGTTAAGTTGTGAGTGTGGGTTTAAGGTGAATTGTTCCAGCCACGATATTTCCAATTATTATTCTTCTTGTGTACTAATGGTACACAAGACAGACGCAAGTGTTGCACATGTGTCTTATTCAACCAATCGCTGTAGGTATTTTTTGGTTGTGTATCTAAATGGAAGGATTTATGGGTCAGTCAAAGATACGTTGCTTGCTTCCCCAAGCTAGGCATTTCATGTGACTGCATCTCCATACAAACTGAATTGCTAAATATAATATAGCCTAGTTCAGCCACGGTATTTTTAACTCCCGCTCCTCATCCGCTACTGAGCTCTTCTGAAGATATTCGAGCAAAATATTTCAGCCACCCCCGAAAGGCCCTTGATGTTACGCTAAGAACATTCCTACGTATATGGCACTAAGGAATTAAAGTGGTTATCACAATATACATTGTGCTTTGGTTCTTGTGCACTAGCTACGAATGTTGAGTGCAGTCCAGGCTTGTGCCCTGAATTCAACGAGAGTCACATACTTTAAGAAGCGAATACTACAAGAGCTGGAGGTTTGGGTAGTGGGGTGTGTGGAGCATTTATGTGCTCAGGGAAAGGCTTGCCCTGAAGCATGCCCAGCAGGTGGATGTCAGAGAGGCAACGGAGCAGGTGGTGGCACTGTCTCCCCCTGGTCCTGGGAATGGTGAGGCGGGTTAGTGGCAGCACAACGAAGAGGAACTTCCAGCAGAAGGTAACTCATTATCGGCAGTGGTAGTGGCTGCTGGGGGCCCAGTGTGAGAGCTTGCACCAGTGGTCTAACATCTGTTTTATGCTGGAGTCGTAGAGTGGCGTAGATCATTGTCCGACACTGTCGTTTGAGTGGTGGTGGAGTCTTGCTCTCCTCTGTCAACCACTCCACCAAGTCTGAGTCCTCTTGCCACGTCCAGGGAAGATGAGGCGGCGCCAACCAGTCATACTCTCGCAGAGGCGCTCCGGCTTCAATTAACAACCTACAAGAAAACAGAGTAAAGTTTTTTTAACTAAGGTTGGTCCTTCAAAGCCACACAAAGAATGGTTTATGTCCATTCTTTTCCTACCCAGGATGCGGCCCACCGGAGTCGACCAACACTCAGATATCTATTTTACTGCTCTAAAAATAAGGGAAACAGACTGTAAGGAGTCTTGCTCGTAACTCAGTGGTAGCGTGTTTGGCTCACAACCGAAGGACCCGGGTTAAATCCTAGGGAAAGTGAGACATACTCGCACATCTTTCAGATTCTGTCCCTGCTCACCTAGCAGTAAATAAGTATCTGGGTATTAGCCGACTACTGTGAATAATTTGCTGGAGTATAAAGACCAAACGACCTCAGTGAGACCAGCCACACAGCGTGATCTTCATGAGTTAAAAACCTCACAGATGACCTCAGTGAGACCAGCCACACAACGTAGTCTTCATGGGTTAAAAACCTCACAGACGACCTCATTGAGATCAGCCACATAACGTGGTCTTCACGAGTTAAAAAACTCACAGACGACCTCAGTGAGACCAGCCACACAACGTGGTCTTCACGGGTCAAAAACCTCACAGGAGTAAAAAACTGAAATCTTATTTTTCGTCATTTTAGTCTATTCCAGAATTAAACCTAAAACGCTACAAACTGGCATAGTGCCTGATAAGTGGAAAATGGCAAATGTAATACCTATTTACAAGGCAGGTGACAGGTCCTTGGCTTCGAACTATAGACCAATAAGTCTTACCTCCAAAGTGGGAAAATTTATGGAATCAATAATTGCCGAAGCAATTCGTAGCCATCTTGACAGGCACAGATTGATTAATGAATCTCAACACGGTTTTACAAAGGGGCGTTCCTGTCTTACGAATTTACTAACTTTTTTCACTAAGGTGTTTGAGGAGGTAGATCATGGTAATGAATATGATATTGTGTATATGGACTTCAGTAAGGCTTTCGATAGAGTTCCACACCAGAGGCTTTTGAGGAAACTTAAGGCACACGGAATAGGAGAAATTTTTTCCTGGGTAGAGGCATGGCTGACAAATAGACAGCAGAGTGTTTGCATAAATGGGGAGAAATCAGAATGGGGGCACGTCACAAGCGGTGTTCCTCAGGGGTCAGTGTTGAGCCCGTTGTTGTTCACAATTTACATAAACGACATAGATGAGGGAATAAATAGCGACATAAGCAAATTTGCTGATGACACCAAAATAGGCCGTCCAATTCATTCTAAAGAGGACACTAGAGCACTCCAGGATGATTTGAATAGACTGATGCAGTGGTCGCAGAAGTGGCAGATGCAGTTTAATATTGACAAATGCAAAGTTCTAAATGTTGGACAGTTAAATAACCATGCCACATATAAACTAAATAATGTAGATCTTAATACTACTGATTGCGAAAAGGATTTAGGAGTTCTGGTTAGCAGTAATCTAAAGCCAAGACAACAGTGCATTAGTGTTCGCAATAAAGCTAACAGAATTCTTGACTTCATATCTAGAAGTATAAATAATAGAAGTCCTCAGGTTGTTCTTCAACTCTATATATCCTTGGTTAGGCCTCATTTAGACTATGCTGCTCAGTTCTGGTCACCGTATTACAGAATGGATATAAATGCTCTGGAAAACGTACAGAGGAAGATGACGAAGATGATCCCATGTATCAGAAATCTTCCCTATGAGGATAGACTGAGGGCCCTGAATCTGCACTCTCTCGAAAGGCGTAGAATTAGGGGGGATATGATCGAGGTGTATAAATGGAAAACAGGAATAAATAAAGAGGATGTAAATAGCGTGCTGAAAATTTCCAGCCAAGACAGGACTCGCAGATTCAGGAAGGATATAGGAAAGTACTGGTTTGGTAATAGAGTTGTGGATGAGTGGAACAAACTCCCGAGTACAGTTATTGAGGCTAAAACGTTGTGTAGTTTTAAAAATAGGTTATATAAATACATGAGTGGGTGTGGGTGGGTGTGAGTTGGACCTGACTAGCTTGTGCTGCTGGGTCTGGTGCTGTGCTCCATCCTTGAGTGGAGGTGACCAGACTGGGTGGGTCATTGGTCTAATCCGGGGGGGCATGGACCTGCTCCGCATGGGTCAGTAGGCCTGTTGCAGTGTTCCTTCTTTCTTATGTTCTTGAGTCGAACTTTGGACCACTGTTCTTATAGAGAACAAGTTCTCTATAAGAACTTGTAATGTTCACTTTAGACTGAACAAACAACACATTCTGCCTGAGATACACAGCATGTTAGTGCCTCTTCTTTGTACTGAACAATATTTTATTAAATGTAAACTACATTTTTGTATATTGCAGAAATAAGGTTTTTTGACTAGAACACAATTTATATTGAGGCCCCACGTAACAATACCTGGTCAGAGACAGGGAATCTATTAGCTAACGGAGGCTCGAGCCCTCACTCCTTGCATTGAATGACCCATACTCATTCAGGTCTTCATGAAAAAATACAATATAAAACGATACAATACCTGAAGAACTCAATGTCTATGTGTTTCATAGCCCAGTAGAGTGGTGAGTGTCCCTTGTAGTCCTCCAGTGTCAGTGGCACTCCCGCCGCCACCAGTTCTAGCGCCATCTCGCGTCGACCCTGACCAGAGAATAATAATAATATCTTTATTTACTACCAGTACATGTACAAGATATACAGACCATAGCTGACATCAATGACATACTACTATATAGAAAGTAATTCTGAGTAATTCCCTCAAATTAGGTCAATTTTGTCCCGGGATGTGACCCACACCAGTCCACTAACACCCAGGTACCTATTTTACTGATGGGTGAACATGGACAGCAGATGTGTTATGGAAACACCTTCTAATATTTTCCCGCCGTACCGGGGATCGATCCCCGGACCTCAGTGTGTGAGCTGAGTGTGCTAGCACTGATGATGATAGAACATAAAGAATGAGACACTTGTGCAACATTTGGGAATCTTAACTGTGGATACGTTTCGCTAGGCAGTGCCTTCTTCAGTCCAATACAGAGGATAACAGAAGAAGAGGAGGAGTCGATGTGCTCAGTCCATCAATCTTGAGAAATTTACAGCACATGGCTTAAATACTGCAGTCAGGTGAGTAGACGAAGGAGGAGGCGGAGTCACCACTGGACAAATCCACTGGTGTAAGTAGGTCATGTCTATAGGTTAGGAGAAACGTTTCCTCAATAAATATTCCCAGATGCTGCTCGTTTCATTCTTCAACTTGATTAAACCGTTTATCATCACAACACAGAATATATATATCAGAAGATGTGTATTTCTCGGTGTATATACACTGAGAGTTTATTTTCACCACTATAAAAGCAACATATACAAAAGCATGGTCTTCAGAGCATGGAACCGAAACGTTTCCAGTAAAGTTGTCCAAAGTGTTTACAATTGAGTTCTTTTAACCCTAAGTTACATATTAAAGTATTTTGACTGGTGGTGGAGAGACAATATGCAGTCTTAACGACCCTTAACGACCCAGTGGTTTACGCACCGGCCTGGAGTTTACGACTCACTTGCCATGGGTTCTAACCCCACCCGTACCTTGGTTTGTTTACAATCGCGTTGTTTCGTGAGTCATAATAGCACTTTGATTACTCAATAGGCTTTAATACCAGTTAATTAACCAGTGAACACTGACAAAAATCATACCATATCCATATTATAAATTAATAGGTAATGGGTGCTTAATTACCTATAAGGCATAATTAAAACAGCGCCTAATTAAGGTCAACTCTTAACGCAATCATGGGTAAGTTCTTCAACTCATTAATGGGAGGCAAACAGATATGATCCTTAGACTGAGAAAAATAGAGCTCCAGTTCCTTGAATCAAGAGCCCCTCTTCGTCAGGGCATACACTTCATTTTAAGGCATCCAAAATATTGTTAGTTGAAAGCCTCAGAAAATAATATGTTTAAAAACGCTAAACAGTTTACTGTGAATAAATTACTTTGACAACTGTGCTTTTATTGGTATAAATATTGTATTTTGGGTTACACTACTGTATATTATGGTACAAATACTGTATATTATGGAACAAATACTGTATATTATGGTACAAATACTGTATATTATGGAACAAATACTGTATATTATGGTACAAATACTGTATATTATGGAACAAATACTGTATATTATGGAACAAATACTGTATATTATGGTACAAATACTGTATATTATGGTACAAATACTGTACATTATGGAACAAATACTGTATATTATGGTACAAATACTGTATATTATGGAACAAATACTGTATATTATGGTACAAATACTGTATATTATGGAACAAATACTGTATATTATGGTACAAATACTGTATATTATGGAACAAATACTGTATATTATGGAACAAATACTGTATATTATGGTACAAATACTGTACATTATGGAACAAATACTGTATATTATGGTACAAATACTGTATATTATGGTACAAATATTGTATATTATCGTACAAATACTGTATATTATGGTACAAATACTGTATATTATGGTACAAATACTGTATATTATGGTACAAATACTGTATATTATGGTACAAATACTGTATATTATGGTACAAATACTGTACATTATGGTACAAATACTGTATATTATGGTACAGTTATCTGGTAATAATACTGCATTGGTACAAAATGCTAATATATATATATATATATATATATATATATATATATATATATATATATATATATATATATATATATATATATATATATATATATATATATATATATATATATATATATTCAGTCCCTCAGACTGAAGATATTGCCTCCAGACTGAGGGACTGATTACCCCAAACTCCTCCTCATGTTCTACTATTCTCTGTACTGGACTGAAGAAGTCACTGGCTGGCAAAACATTTCCTCAATAAAGATTCCTAAATATTGCACAAGTGTCTCATTCCTCAACGTAGCAACTTCCCATTCCTGCACATGTTGCATGATTCCTAAATATAAGATGATGAAGAAGATGATGATGAAGATGATGATGAAGATGAGGATGATGAAGATGGAGAAGACGAAGATGATGATGATGAAGATGATGATGAAGATGAGGATGATGAAGATGGAGAAGACGAAGATGATGATGATGAAGATGATGATGAAGAAGATGAAGATGAAAATGATGAAGAAGATGATGAAGATGGAGAAGAAGACGAAGATGATGAAGAAAATGATGAATGTGGATAAATTTTCTCCTGGAGGGGGGTATGAGCCCCTTTCAGCTCTTTCAGCCCTGAGGGGCCGGACCCTCTCAGAAAGGTCAATGACGTCTTGCTTCTGCATCAACACTTTAATTGATTCCAGATGCAGTACCAGTGTGTCATAGACACAGCACGTCTTTGCAAGAGACCAGTGTTGCCAATAGTGTAAATAATGAAAGACATTCGATCTCTTGCCTTAGCATTATTATTATTATTATAATCAAGGGGGAAGCGCTAAACCCGGAGGATTATACAGCGCCTGGGGGGGGGGGATATGTGGAAGGCATTCAGGCTTAATTCGGGGAACTGGAGCACAGATCCAATTCCCTAAATCAAGAGCCCCTCACCAACATCAAGGAACCTTCCTTGAGGGGTCTTGCCTTAGCAGAACAATTAAGGAAAATCCTGCACCCACTTTATTACCATGTTAAAGATGTACATTAATGTCTGTGACCAGACAGCGGGAATCGAGCATTCTATATTGCTTCATGGTGGAAGTTTGGCAAGTATGGGAAATATGCTTTGTCTGCACTTCTTTAGTGTGTTGGAAAGCAGGGCGTAGGGT